CATATAGAAAACAATATGACATATAGGGCTTATTTTATTATTAATATAGGCCACACACGTGTGTTTGTAACTAAATATAAGCATTTTCATCGTGGCTCTATTTATTACAATTCATAGGCCTGTTCTTTCACCATCATTACACATTGAAGCCCTTCTTTTAGGTAAAACGATCTATCTTAAATTTTCTTTCTCAAGTTTGGGACTATTATGTTTTTAAATAACTTAGAAGGCAAAGGAGGGCAAGCACAATCTTTAACCCTAAGAAATGCGCGCGAAAAATCTTTGTGTTTTTAATTCTAATTTCGTCGGAATTGATCAAAACTCCCAATTTTTAGAGGAAATTGGCCTACCTCAACAAGAAATGCTCTTATGTTATATATGGCCACACTCGTTTTTTTAAACTGAATATAAGCATTTTCCTTATGGCTTTATTTATTACAAACATATTCTTTCAACATCATTACACATTGAGGCCCTTCTTTTAGGTAAAAAGATCTATCATAAATTTTCTTTCTTGAGTTTGGGACTACGTGTTATAGCTTAGAAGGCAAAGGAAAGCAAGCCGAAGCTTTAAAATTTTTGTTTTTTTAATTCTAATTTCGTCGGAATTGATCAAAACTCCCTTAAATGTGCAATTTTTAGAGGAAATTGGCCTACCTCAACAAAATATGCGATTTAAAATTTGAGATTTTCAGGCACTTTCCCGGGTGAAAAGGGCATTCAATAGGGAAAGACTTTCCACAGATGGATATTTTCCCCTTGTCCCCCGGTGGTTACGCCACTGCGGAGAATACCTGGCGGCTTAGATCAAATGCGCTATGGACACTTTTTGAAGTGGAGAAGGGGTTGCAGGCCGGGGTATTGTGATATCTGTTCATTATATCTTCCTTTTTATTCTTGTCTTTAGGCCTATTTTTCTCTTCTCTTCTTATTTTCCTTTTTCCTTTCTTTTTCTTTCCCCTTCTTTCTATTTCCCTTGCTCTCCCCTTTTTCTTTTCTCTTCTTACCCAGCCCGGTACGACGGCTTGGTCAGCCCGGTAAAAACCGTCGGGGGGGACTGTCTGCCCAACCTGTTACGCCACTGCTTATAAGATGAATGGGAATATGAATCATGCAGATCTGGAATCAAATCTAGGTGGTGGGGTCAACATTTCTCCCCCGGGAAAATTTCGATTTCTAGATGGCGAGAAATTCTGAGGTGCCTTTTAATCACTCTTATGTTCTTCAAAATTCAAGGTTTTCCCATCTTGAAAACGGTCAGGTAATTTTTTCCCATTGTTATTACAGTAAAAAGGGCTTATGTGTGTATACATACATAAAAATTTAAAAAAAAATGAGTAGTTGCATACGAATTTTCCATGAATCGATGAATCCCAAAAAAGGGGGGTCCGGGGTTTCTTCCTCAGGAAAATTTTGATTCCTAGAAGGCGGGAAATGAGCTTTCCCGACTTCTGAGGTGTCTTTTAAATTAAAGTCATTAAAAAATACTTCAGAAGTCGGGAAATGTCATTGTCCACCATTTAGAAATCAACATTTTCCCGGGAAGAACTCGAACCTCCCTTTCTCTGGGTTCATTGATTCATTATAATAATTTTCAAGAGGGGAATACTTTGAATTTTGAAGAACTTAAAAGTAATTAAGTTCTTCAAAATTCAAGGTTTTCCACTCTTGAAAACGGTCAGATAATTTTTTCCCATTGTCATTACAGTAAATAGGCCTTATGTGTGTATACATACATAAAAAAAGATTGAGTAAGTTGCATACGTAGTTTTTCCATGAATCGATAAATCCCAAAAAGAAAGGCTGATTGTCTCTTATACACATCTAGATGTGTATAAGAGACAGGTCAGGTAAATTTTTCTCATTTTTTATTTTATGTGTGTATACATACATAAACAAATGAGTAGTTGCATGCGTATTCTTTTTCCATGAATCGATAAATCCCAAAAAGAAAGGGTGGTCCGGGGGTTCTCTCCCGGGAAAACTTTGATTCCTAGATGGCGAAAATTGAGCTTTCTCGACATTTGAAGTGTCTTTTAATGAATTTTATGTTCTTCAAAATTCTAATTTTCTAATAGCAACAAAAAGAAAATCAGCTCACGGGTCCTGAAAAGATAGGTCTAGAATTCCTTTCTTTTCCCCTTTTTTTGTTGCCCAAGGGAGGGGTCAGGACCCGACTCCCTATCCCAGATCCGCCAATGTGAATTGCGAGAAAATGTAACTCGGTCGGGTACTGGATAAACATTCTCT